ACATCCAAGAATTCCTTTTTTTCCCCCGCTATGTAAACTAAAAATTCAGTGGCTTTAATTTCCTAGGCACTCACAGACTTCATGTTTTTCTCCTAATACACAATCACTTTTCTGTTGAACCAAATCCACATTCAAGTATCAGAAAACAGTATCAAACAAATGCTAAACAACTTGGTTTTAACAAGATGAAAGTAAGACTGGAATGAAATCCAAAGGTTAACAGTCCTCAACATAGACAGCATACACAGAAGGTAGCAGCCTTTTTTTTGTTATGTTTTCTTCTTTTAATTTGATTTCTGCAACTACCAAATAGGTAGGAAAAAGTAGGAGATACCAGAATTTTTTGTTCCCACTGCACAGTACTTTTCCTTTCATTGCAACGTTAATTTATGATTTAATTATCATAGTTACAAGTCACAGAAAATGAACTGCATAGTAAGATAGTTCTGGAGGTCTCATGATAAGCAGTGCTGGCTGCATTTGCCATGATATTGTCACAACAGCTTCAGAAAAAAAAAAAAAAAAGAAAAGAAAAAACACGTTACCACGTTTCATGACATTCTCTTTAGCATGAAGTAAAACATCAGATCTGTGGGTTGGCATTTCTCATTCTCCTGCTATTCCCTTGGTGAGCTGATCTGCTGCAAGGCTAAAAGCTGCTCTTAGATTTTTCCAGACAACAGAAACAAGCTGGCATCGGGAGTCACCATCTCCCATCACTCCAGAGCACCAGATTCCCTAACCCTAGGATATTCATCCAGGATATTGACCCCTTTTCTCTCCTAGGATGCCTGGGTTCAGTGACCCAAAAACACAAAGCTACTTTTCTCTCAGTCTTTCACTGAAGACTAGAGAGTATTACTACCTAAAACACTAAAATGCTAGTTATGGCAAAAGCACAATATCTCAAATCACAAGTCTTATGAGAAAACACACATTCCTTTATCCCATGTGAAAGAATATGGCTTTTTGGCAAAGCAAACTGCAAACATTGTAAACAAAGGCTCAGCTTTAAAACATTAAAGCATTTCAGTTTTTGCCAATAACTAAAAACAAAATAAAACCCTTCCCTCATTTGCCTTGTAAACGAATTTGCATTCAAGCCCACTAGCCATTTGCCGTTTCCTCCCTATGTCCTGTGGATTTCTACAGTACTCAGAAAAAAGAAAGTGCAGTTTTTCAGACTTTAGGAAAATTCAATAGGTTTACTTACGCATTAGGTTGTAAATGTGCTTTTCTGCAACATGGTCCGTAAACAGCTTTATAAGGTCATCTTTTAAGTCTCTGTTAAGCTTGGTTTCTATGTAAAATTTATTCTGGAAAGAGAGACAGAAGCTTTTGCGGTTGGTTTTCATAACAGTAAATTCAGTAAATTTACTTCCCCCTGAATAAAAACAGTTCAATTCTTTAAAACTTAAATTATTTGACCATGTAAAGTGCTTACTTCATATTTGCATTTATATTGTCCAGAATGTTCTATACAATGGAAACATTTTTTTAGAATTATGGATAGTTGTGCTGTTATTCATACTAATGAAACTACTTATTTACTTTGAGTTAACAAAAATAAAAAATAAAAAGAAATAAGCTTAAAGAGCTTGTGGGAATACATTTAATTTTGGAACTTTTTATAACGTAAATACAACGTGTCTGTGTGTGTATAATAGAATGCTGTAATTCCAAAATAGAGCAGGACATCATGTTTATGATACTAAATAAGCATTTTACTAGTGTCTAAAAATAATTAAGCCATTGAGACAGGTATATTTCAATAATAAATCACCGGTACAGCTTGCTGCTTTTGCGCTTCATTGATAATCCAAGAGAATTAGAGTCAAAAGAAATTAAAACATTTGCAGAAATAATAATATATACAAAGTTATACAAAATTGAACTATGTTAAAATTTTGAGAATTTTATTACCTTGACCCATTGGCATTAAAAATTCTGGCATAATTAATTCTTTTCTTCACCCCTCAGAGGAAATTCTATTGGTGTGTTCCTTGAGGAGTTTAAAACCTAATATAATACTTGGTGTTACTCCTCAATTCCAAGCCTGCAATAAATAGCAAGATTTCCTGTCTACATTTCATTCATAGGTGGGTTTTAGAAATTGAAATAAATAGCTTTTTTTTCTCTCTTTTTTCTCCCCTCCTCCAATGCATCTTCTACCAAGTGCTAAGCAATAGAGTGAAGTTGAGTCTTTCCCCACACTTTATTTGTTAAACCATTTCTATCTTAAACTTCCTCAGCTGGTACCATCAATGTAGGCACTGGTGCAACATAGAGGAATGACAACAGTACCACAAGGCAACAGTCTGCCGAGTTGATCCAGAATGTAACGGGGTCAAATTAATGCACCTTTTGAGCTGACAGATGGAATAAAGAGCGAGCTGACTCCATTTCTTTCCTAGCACCATTTTCTTCTTGCATGCAGCTGGCTACAACATGAATAACAAGCAGTGATGCTTTCTTTTCTGCAAGAATTGAAAAGCCTGTACCTTAGGGTGCAAAACTAGATAAATAGTAAAAAAACAATTTTAAGGAAGAGAGTTACAACACACTAGTACTCAAACACAGGAAGATTTATGTTATGAAAAGCTATGTTAGATAAATACGTTCACTTCCAATCAATCATGCTGAAAGGAAACAGAAGGACCAGAGTCTACCCATTCTTTCCAGTGGAGAAGTCACCAGAGCTTCCCTACAGAATGCCACTACTTAGGCTATCCCAGTATTTCTTAGAAAACTCAAAGTCATTTAAAGGTTTAACACACAGGTAGAAAGATCAGCAGGTCTCAATGCCCAAGAAACTCAGCTATCCTTTAAGCACTTTAAGCACTTCCAGAAACCACCTGCCAACAACGGCCAACACTGAAGACATGAGTGTGTTAATACCATTAAGAGGGGAAAAACATGAAAAGCAGCAAAAAGCAAGTAGCACACAAGAGTACTTACTACCTCACCTCCTGTGCATGTCTACATGTACGTATATATTAAATATACACTCTGTTCTCTAGTTGATAAGCACTAAGGCGCAGTGCCAACCAGTAAGGGCAGTGACATTTCAGAGGCCAAGAGAAAATCCTAATCAACCGGCCCCAAACCACAGCCCTTTCGAATGTCAGGCACACCACATGGCACAAGATCATAGATTCTTGGCTACCTTCCTAAATACATTAAGCAAATTAGAATCTACAATAAGAGGAAAAGTAGATCTTCTGAATGCTCATTTGATTTTTTATTGATGTGGCAATATGATTTATTATATATATGGATGGTTTGAATACGATTTGATCTATACCCAGTAAATGAAGGAAAAGTACTACTGCTGATTTCAAAGCATATAGGAACATGCATAAGAAAATAAAATGCCTCTTTTGCCAACCAAGGCACAAAATTTTGGTCCAGTTGTATTAAAAATCTTTTAAGTTTCCCTTGACTTCCTACATTTTTAAAAGATAAGTATATATATTAAAAGTTTCCTTTAGTAGCTATGTAATGCCCCTTTCAGAACAAATTTTATCAGAAGTCTGATCAAGAACCTTTCTTAAAACAATTACATTGCTACTAGAAAAAGGAAAACATTGTAATTTCTGATATAGAGGCAGTTTTCAACAACTCAGTCCACTCCGTTTAAAAATATATTTAAAGGTATATTCAAAGTAGGTCCAAAACTGTAAATCATAGTACAGGCAAAAAAATGACTTTCAGCTCCTGCAATTTTCTTCCATTTTATTATATATATAATTTTGTTTTCTTATCTAAGTAAAGGAAATTGCCACTGCTGTATGAAAGAAAACTCATACAGCATTGAGATTCAATGCAAGAATTGTAAAAGTGGCTGAACACAGAACATTTTTTGAATGCACACAAGAAAATATTGTTCATTCCCTCTTTTCTAGCAATAACTCTCGCATGTTACAAACAACATTGAAGAATAAAATATTTGGGGAGGGTAGAGGGGCAGGGGGAAATGAACCTTAACTTTATTTTCCAAAACACACAGGGAGGCCGAGTTAATTAGCCCTGGATTTGCTGCAGTGAGAATCTAACACAGGAGTCACTAACGCCCAGGACCAGCTTGAACACAAAAGTGTTAGCAGAAACGGATTTATTACCTGAACAGACCACAAGTCACATTTTAATGAAGCTTCTCCTTTGAAGTAAGAAACCAGGCTTTCTTTCGTTCTCAAATAAAAGAATGATTACTTTTAAACTATCCATTTTACAGACTTGCTTATCATTCATTAATCATTTTGACTATTTTCAGATTATCATCTATACTCGGAAATCAAGCAATAGCAAAATTCAGGCATTCCTCCTTTTAAAACAGGAAAAACTCTCATTACAATCATGTACAAAGGAGGATATTGAAATCTATTCACTGGTTACATCTTGCCTGGGCATAAATAAAGGTTTTTGTATTATTATCATGAACATTCTTTCACACTTCACAATTTTGGCAGTCTTAACTGATGGGGAAGGATTTTGACCAAGAACTGGATATTATTGGAGATGTGAATCCCCAGTAAAAATACATATCTGAAGAGCTTATAATTTAATATTCACTTACAAAAGCAGGTAAGTGTGAGATTGCCTAAACACCTGCCTGCACAAAGAGGTCAAGCACCTAGAGGTGGACAAATGACCAGCAGCCAAAAACAAACGCCTGAATGCAAGAAGGAAAAACCTCTTTCTACTCTGCCCTGGCATTTCAAGATCAGAAACCAGGGAAAAAAAATGTGGCAACTGGATTGCATTCTATATTAACTAGATAAAGAGCAGATTACAAGGCACTCAGTTCAAGCAAAAAGTCATTTTTCTTTTACACTAACAAATCTACATGATTACACTGTGCAAAAACACCACACCAAATTACTTGGGTTTGGGTACATCTGCCAAAACACAGGTCACATTTTGAAAAGATATTGTTTTCCAAGTTCTTAGAGCTTATCAATGAAATAAATTCCATAATTTAATAACTAATCTAACCCCCTCCATCTTTTTTTTTTTAATTAAGGTTCCGTATGAACAAACATTTCCTTTATTCTTCATTTATGAACAATTGCAAAGCAAATACCAATTCTGAGAAGATGATAACCCAAAACTATGTTAATCGCTGCCATAAAAAAGCAATAAAAATCTTGACACATTGGCACAAGGTATGTAAATAATAAATCAGATATACGGAAAACTTCCTAAATTCCCAAATTTGCAGGTCAACCAGTTATAGCCAGCATTTTCTGAGCTTCTGCAAGTATCCCTGATAGAGCTAAGAAAACAAATTTGCCCTCATCTACCCAATGCTCTCGATTGTCACTTGATCGTGCACACACATTTCCAATAGACAATATAGAACATTTTCTGTCTGAACAACAGACTAGTAGGATCTGTCTTGTTTAAATCAGTGCAATTTAGAGTAATAAATGGTCAGCTCTAACCTGCCCAAACTATCCAGCCAACAAATAACAAGCTGATTATCTATCTCTGTTCAAAAGGATATAAATAACGACCTAACTATCTGTAAAGAACTTTTTCCAATCAAAATAAGAAAACCTTCCACCCTCCCAAGAAGGAAATAAAAGAGAAAAATAATTTTAAGTGAGTTTAATTAAAAGCACTTGATCTATCTTCCTTTCCCCACACATTTAATAACTCTTACACAGCAGCAAAGTCAGGCATTAATAAGGTCCTCCAAGAAGAATAGTTATAGCTGCATTTTACTCTTTTTACTTTCATTTAATATCTTGTATATGGACATACTTAAAAAGAATTTTCTAAAACTTACCATATATATGAAAAGAGGCACAATGCTCTGCAATGCTCCCATATACTGTCCAAGAGCTATGTTAAATCTTTCAATATAGAGATCTGGAGGGCTGGCCTGCAAGAAACCGTAAAAGTCAGGTTGCAATTTGAACAAGAGAAAGATCTGGAACACCATGGGCTATGCTTTCATAGCAAAACTCCAAAAACTACTAAGTATTTAATAGATTCAGTCCACACGAAGCCAGCCACATATTATTCCAGAGTTTCTACTATAACTTCCTCCAGCAAAAAAATCTTTTTAAACAGCAGCTGTTTTTTTTTTGCCTGTAACTGTATGTCAGTGCCTAGCAAAGGGCATGTCCACTGTTAAATATGCTCTGCCTATAAAACACCAGCATTTAGCATAAGCAAATCAAAACATTGAAATGCCAGACATTCTACTGAAAAAACTCTGTGTCAAGTGAAGAAGCCATAACCAGATGTGACCAAGTGCTTGTGGTCACCCCAAGACAGCAGGGTGACCTGGAGCTGCCGCTTTGCATCCGAGCTGCCATCCAGCACATCACCTGGCTCCAGGGAGCCATGTCTTTCACGGAGAGGGTTTTGGAGTGTTTGCTGTGTCACATATGCAAGGCAAATATTCAGAGATGGAGAGCTGGAAGGACTACAAAGCAATGCCTCGAGATACAGCTCTGCAGCTGGCAGCTACATGAGGCCCACTAGGTCAACTACATTCCTCCAGCAGAGAGCATCACCCTGCAGCCCCGAGCAAAACTTTGCCTTTCCCACCTAAAGAAGCTGCTTTATGCTTGGCCCTGTGGACAGCACAGTGACAGCAGGGCTATAATCTGCACAGAAGACCATCCTTCCCAGTGTGGGAAACGAGAAAGCTAGAAAAGAACCATTTGCAGCAAGGTCAGTAAAACGGAGCAGGCAACGAGGAGAATGGGGAGCACGAGCCCCCAGTCTTTCACAGAGCTACAGGAGAGCATTAATCCCGTATCCCCATCTCTATCCCAACCTACCCACATACACTTCCCTCCCACCTTTTCCCCTTTTTCTTGGGGTGGGGAAAGGACAGGAAGACTGTGAAGTGGGAAGGGGGGCAGGTGAGGTATCCTGCTTACTACTGCTGATAGATTTACCCCATCACCACCCCGTATCCCAGGGCAAAGCTTGTAGGAACCCAAGTTTGTCTTCGCAGGCACCTTTTTCCTCACCGACAGCGCTAAGCAAGAGCAGCATTAAAAACAAAACCCAGCAGCCACCAGAACACTGCAAGAAAAGAAGCTCAAAGCTTTTTCCTCAAGCTAAAGCAGAGTATTTGGTGTCAGAAATGCCTAAAAGCAACTGCACCTCAACCCCTTAGCACTTAGTAAAGCTCCTGTCTTTAAGGAGATTCTTCATTCTTCACATGGACTTTAATCAAAGGCACTAGAAAGGCAATTCAAATTTACATTGATTCTGCTCTATGAAGTGTTCCGAATTTAAGAACTTTTTCCCCTTATATTAGCTTTGTTTGCCTCCCTCCTAAATTATCTTCAGCCTTACCCACATGCTTATGTTCCCAATAAACACCTAATGACATAAAATAGACATTTCAAAAAGAAAAATAAATCTGTCAAAGGAATAAGGAAGGTTATTCCATATGCTGTTGCTAAAGGTTATATATAGAGATATTGCTCAAAGCTGATTTGACGACTTCTGACTTGTCAAGACTTTGGATACAGCTTTTTAGAATTTAAGAAAAAGAGAAAATTCTGCTTCAAAGACTGTCAAACAGAAGGTGACAACAGTCTGACACAGGCTGCTGATCCTCCTGCACCAAGAGCTCGAGCCTTCCTTTACAAGAGTTATCTGGAAAACAGTCTGAAGATGATTTAGCCACGCTCACAGATCCTATCCAAAGGAGTAAGTTTAGTTTGGCACTGCTGTTTACAGCAGATATTAAGATTTTCTTTTTCCCTACTAAGATGAAAACACACCCTTCCCTCCCATCACAAAATCCAAGTCACATGGAGCTTAAGAAAACAGGTTTAGGAGAAAACAAGAACGATGCACCGCACTGCCTTCCATTAACAATATCAAGAGTCCTTTATTTACTAATGAATGTAAATTCACACTTTATTAGGGAATGCCTAGAAATTGTTGGCTGCAACCACCTTAAAACCAAGCAGAAAACAATGGTTCTAGACCAAAACCAAAAAGTGCAAGAGACCTAACAGCTTCAGGGAAAGCACTCACCAGTGGAGGGCAAGTATTAGGCCTTAATTTTAGCCTCCAGAATGCAAAATCGCAGTGTTAACTGCTTAATTCATATGAATTATGGGGAGGGGAGTCTGAGTTTTACTCTCCAAATAATGTTGCACAGCAGCCTCACAGCTTGACAGTCAAGGCACTAACAAGAAAGCACTGAATAAGCATTTCCATTTGTTCCAAATAAGAACTTGACAACTCAAGCTTTCCTCGTTTCTTGCTTGACCTGTAAACTAACAAAAACACAAGCCAAAGAGAATTCAAGAACAGTATTTTCAGAGTTTATTATCTAAGAATTATTGTAATCCATGCGGAGAAAACACAGGCACCCTGTTGCGCTCTCTCTTTTCTATTCAGTATGCTGTTTTATGGCTGCTCAAAACTACTGGATTGAAATCAGTTACTTTTCTCAGCCTAGCAACTTTCTCCACACATCTGTATTCATATAAAATAACAACTGGATTTGGACTAATTTTACATATGCTACTTGAGTTTTATAAACAATAAAGCTGTGGTTAACACTAAATCTGCTCAACAAATGCTGTCCTGACTGCATAGCTGTTGCTAAGATTTCTCCTATTTAATGACCATCATTAAACAGAGCTTACGTCTCAAATCTCTATAAATGCAGCTATAAGCATCATAAAAGTCAGGAAACTGCTTAGGATGGGAAAAAAAAAAATCTCCCTTGGTCTTAATCCAGAAAAGACACCACATCAGCTGTTTCAACTAAGGGAAAAAAATAAGCATGACATTTGCTTCTTAAAACCACATGCACAAAAACCACTTCTCTCTTTCCTAAGGGTCTGTACTAAAGCAGCTGCTCAAACAGAGCAAGAAGAATATACTGGTAGTCAAAGGTTTTCCTGGAAGGAGCAGGATCTGTCACTCCTCATACTGAATCAAATTGACAGCTTTATCTTGCTCAAGATACTCTATTAGGGCAGACAGCACAAGTCCTCTCCTCCAATTGCTCTCACCTGTCACTCAGAGCTAAGAACAGTTTTCTAGCAGTAGCTCTATAGTGCATCTGCCCACGGGAGCTGGGGAGCTTTGCTCAGATTTCTCAGGTTGTGATAGATTGCACTGAACCTGTTCAGCTTGTTTTTTGAGAAGACTTCTTTGCTAGCACGACTTCCTATGGCTGCTGCTGCAAGCTGGTGTTAGAGACATCATTTAACCTCCTCGTATAGCACACTGGACATCTCGCAGCACCGAGAAACAAGAGAAACGCCAACAAAAACACATGTGAGAGGAGGAGATGCAAGACAGACACCCTCAAACAGAAGCAGCAGTTGGAGACCCAGCAAACTAAATCACCTTTCTCTTTTTTGAAATCTAGTAGCAAATCATTAGAATTATCTTGAACAAACATACATGTGAAAAAGCTTTTTTTCTTTCTTTTTTTTTCTTTTTCAGTTTGGGAGTTCAAAAGCGTTGTCTGAATATCAGGCTTTGATCCAGCACATGAAGGAACACCGGAACACCTGGCTACACAAATTAACTTGTAATTCATGCAAGAAACGGCCTGAATCTTTTAAACTAGCTTTCACTGTTGCTCAGCAAAATGTGATTTGTTTACAGGGTCTAGCAGAACAGATAGGCGACCCCCAAGTCAACAGCACTAGATGAAAGCACCGTTAAAAACTTTTTAGAAAGAGACATGAAGCCCAGGCAAGCACTAGCTGACTGCACTGCAGTGCTCATGGGCGTCCCCAGAACTGTTCAAAGCTGTTATTTCATCACGGCAGTCTCCAACCTTGCCGAGCACAGACCTTCAACCACGGAGCCTTCATTTCCCTTTCAAATAAGGTTTGGGAAGCAGAAAGACCTAGTATTTAAGCGATTGCCAAATTGTTTAAATATAAAAAAATCTTCAGAATTTTTCAATTTAGTAGATACTCATTCTCACATACTACAGTTGCTTACATCTTTCTTTGATTATATCAGGGTCTGCAGCACAATTTAGTACAACAAGACAGTAAAATACAAGCCTTCCTGAAAAACTGCAAGAACACTGTTCACAGGTTACCTTGCTCACGGCAGTGCAATTTTTAAGTGCGATTCTCATGATTTGGTGACTCTTCCTCCTATTTCCAGTCAAAAGCCACCTCTTTTGAGGTCCCTATATTAAGATGCACACATTGTTACAATTTCAGTCAGAGTTCTATTACTGCAACATTCATCTGATCCAGTTGGATTCATTGTGCAATTCCAGCATCCAAGGCTTGTTTCCTGACAACTAAACAACACTTCCCTTGCAAAACTGATGAGCCACAGCACTGGAGATTTGAGGGGAGGGGAGAGTTCTTTTAAAGAACATAGGCCAGATAATAGAATGGCTGTTTAAAAAGTAAAAGATGGACCACAGTTGGCAAAAGGATATTCCAGTGTCCCAAATAAATTATTAGCCTTTTTTTTTTTTTTTTTTTTTTTTTTTTTTTTTTTTTTTTTTAAGTCTAACGTATTTAGCAACAAGAGTTAGGAAGTGAAAGATTTCAGTTTTCTACCTCTACTGCTTTTTGCAGCAGGCAGAATTTAGTGGCAGCAGACCTGTTTTCTAAGCAAATGTTTGGGAAACTAACATCTCTAAAGTGTTTCAGGGATAAGCTAATTTCAGTTTCGAACTTAATTTCACTATTATTTCTGTGCTACAAGAGACAAGACATCAACTGCTGAAGAAGCATTTTAGTTCTCATTTGGCTGGCAAGTTAACAGTGCCCCCCACAAAATAACAAGGAAAGGCTTCTTCACAGGCCTGGTGTGCATAGCCTGGCCCTACATAACTACATTAATAAAGTGAGATCATAACCTCATTAGAGACCTGATTCACTAAGATTATATATAAAAAACAGAAGCACATATGATCTTGCCAAGAATTCTGTCAACAGCCTGGCATAACTCTTCAGTTATAACATATACCACTATATAAAGGTAATCAACGCACCTTAGAAGAAAAGCAAAATACATCCACAAAGTAATTTATGGAGGAATCACCCAAACGAATGCCCGTTAAGAGTCACCGTGAGCCGGTAACGTGATACACAACACGACACAGTCAGAAACACTATTTAGTGACACTTTACACCACCCATACATAAGCTCATAGTAAGACAAACATCACATGTCTCTTCTACGGTTTATACTTTACACCTTCTATAATCAGAAGAAATATTGACAGTTGAATAGATATTTCTAAAAGATTAATAAGCACAAAAAGCCATCCACGGCTCAGAGCCGGGCCTCTAAAAGTTTCTAATCTGATCAATAATAGAAGGCTAGCAGATTAATAACTCAGTTAATGAACTCAACATTTTTCTGGACAGCATTTAGAACTGACTGATTTCTTTCCTTCCTTTGCCCTAAATATAAGTAGTGTGCAGAGTGACTGAGAGTATCCTAACTAAAACGAAAATATATCCATGCTTGCCTGGCCAGGCTACTGTTATCAGACATGAGCTCGACATGTCAGTGCATTCTGACACTTTAAAGGCTTGTGACAGGAGGGGTCTGCCTCAAAGAGCTGATGGTGGCATGACAAGGGATTAACATCACGTACGTTCCTGGTACAGAGCGTTCACTGCTCTACACCCAGGGCCTAACATAAACGGATCCATCAGGCAGCTAGAAACAAGCCAAGGTGAGAATGCTCAGACTTTACGATGCTCCTGAGACGCTTTGGCATTTTGGCATCCGACTGATTTACTGCTTTTGTGGTAGGTAAGGTTTTCCTGGGAAAAGTGCTTGTTCCAGGACGTCGCTGACACGTGGACGTTCTGCAATCCACCTGCTGAAAAACTGCACTTTTGTGCAGAGCTGCTGCCCTAGTGGTCTGGGCATTTCAGTTTTCATAATCACCCTCTTTCTCACCAAAAAACAATATTCTTGTTTGTGTTGGCCTACATCTGTCTCCCTACATGAAAAAAATGACTGTGCATCAAGTCACATGTTGCTAGTTAAACAGAGGCCAGCGATTACATCAAACTTTGCTGGCAGTTGGGAGGACTGTCAAAGAAAGCAAGATATCACACAGTGAGCATTAGGAGCGTTCACATAAATAATGATTTACTGTTTGGTTTTATGAACCAAAAATCTTCCAGGAATTCAATAGCAGAACAGACCAACATCTATAAACTAACTGGGCAAAGGTCTGTCACCCCATAAGAACAAAGTCGGTCAGTCAATATCACTAAAGAATATTAAGATTAAAAACATATTTGGATAATAACATATGTTCTAAGAAATTACTTTCTTAATAGCCAACTTCACAATCCAAGTTTAAAGCATGTAATTTATTTACAAGACCGTTTTCCCAGTCATCCAAGTGTTACTTCAAGATGCTCAAAAGAGGGATTTAGAATCTAAAAACATAAAGCCATATTTTCTTTAGACAAAGAACACATCATACACTTGTATCAAAGATTATATCGTGTTACATTACAGTCATGTTCACCTGGCATAAGGTGTGCCTAACCTACGTCAGGAAACTCTTGCAAGACAGAGATTGCATTAAATAGTTGTCTCAGTTATTCTTTCAAAAACAGATGTTCAGCAGGCAACCTAGTTTTTAAGCAGGTGCATTTTAGTACATTTATGGACTAGAGCAAACGTTAAAACTAGTTTCTTCAGCCAGTTTTAAAACTTATAAGAAAGCGCCGAGGACTGCACCAGAGCCCTGGGTATTCCCAGCTTCAGAGGAAAGCGCAATGCTACCACGGACGTATCAGGAAAACCGGCCAAACCTGCACAGCTGCAGTGACTCTGAGTTCTCACAATCAGAGGCAAAAAATTACAGGCTACACCGGTTCAACAGGACCAAGGGAAGACTTTATTCTAACTATTACGTCGATCCATGCTGACCAATTTTTACGGAACAGCCAAGGCTGTCATTACCTCAGGAATAAAGAGCTGTACAGCAGAAAAGAAACAGAGAACTGGCTCAAGATGAGCTAAATATTTCAGTCAGACTGTCCCAAAGAGGACATCCATTAAATTTAGGGACTTTTTCTTCTAAGGAAACTAAGAGGCAAAGGGTGAAACAAGAACATAAGAATGATAAAAGTGCTGCATGTGTAAGGACAAACGTGCCTAGCTGTATCTGATATGACATATGAAATTAGTTCTCAAATATTTGCAGTGCTTTGGTGCTCTGGTTTAGGTTTCCTGCAGATTTGGACTCTCTGCTTGACTCGCTGCTAGCCAGCCCTGAACTTTAACATCAGTTTTGGAAGTAAAAAAGCTGTAAGAAAATATAATAGTACTGCTGCTATAGCAATAACAATTTGGAGATTTGAAAAGGAGTTTTAGACAAGGAACACACAAAAACAAATATGGATGCCAAGAATATATGCAGAGAAGGACAGGCATACACAGGCTGTATTGGAACTGCTGTAAACCACTGACATCTAGAGATAGGTATAAAAAAATGCAGAATAATCTCTAGCATTAAATTTTCAGACGTAGGAATTCATTGTGTACACTTCATAACTCATACTTAATTCACTTCAAATATTTCCTCTAGATCCTCACTTTTGCCTTGCTTCTGATGGCCCTTCTGACAAGGACTATAAACATTTTATACAGATTAACTTAATGTCAGACATGGGTATCGTGCTCAGATCCTGTTTGACTGAAATATTTACAGCTTAGGCTACACTCTAGATTATCTATTATCCAGACTTTGATTCTTTGCTATATACAATTTTAGTCACTGTGCTGCATTTTTCTAAGGCTAACCAGATGCCATATAATTTGACCTAAATTTGGTGTTTTGTCTGACATCCAGCTAGTAGTAAATCAAGTAGCATACAGTTAGGTAAACTGGTATAAATTAATCTTAATGGCAATCCCCTCCATGGTCTATCTTCATGCTGCTCTGACATAACCACAGATCCCAGGAAAGACAGAAGTAGATTGTGCAGCTTCTTACCTGCAGCTCCTTTGAGACTCTCTCTAAGTGGTTAGTTATCTTTTTTATTAGGTCACTATACATCTGTTCCGAATGCTGCTGGCATACACACTTATACACACAACTGCAGAAACAAATATAGGAACAAACGATGAACTTACAACAGTTTGCAATGGAAAGTAACAGACTTTAAAAAGCTTGTTCATGTCACAATTTAGAGGATAATAGGTTTAATGGAATGATTAAAAAACCTACATGAATAAAACCTCCAGTACAATAAGAAGGTTTAGGAATGTGTAAAATTCTTGGGAAAAATCCTTACTAAAAGATGGGTAACACAGCCTATCAAAATGCTTCTGTTTTAAAGGAAACAACAAAAGCTATAAAAATAGATACAAGCATGCAACTCCATCCATTGCTACTTAAATTTAAAAACCTCTGCCTCTTCATAATGTATGAAGATGCAGAGAAAGAGTGACAAACTAATTCTTCCTTTGATGGTTGGTTGTATTAACTCTGACCTTCAATGTTATTTTTGCTTTTTAAAAATAGTTTAATATTCCCATAGAGCATGCTATAACAGCTTGTCTGCATTAAGTCAGAATTACTAAACAGATTAAGAATACATTTAAAACAAGTACAAAATAAATGTGTGTATTATTTTCAGCAAGTTACATTAAGTTAGTCAATCTTCAGGACTGACATTCATGTTACTTATAATTAAGCAGCTTTTAGTTTTATTTTATGCTTTCATTCTATAGGTCAACACTTTGAAAACCAGCTACAAAAATCCAAAGGCATAATTCACCCAATATCTGGCAAAAACTGACTCTCATCCCCCATGCCTCTATTTCTGCTCATCACTATCCTACATGCACAACTTTGGCAGCAAGCAATTTAGACCAGTGACTGCTCCTTTAGCACATACCAATAAATAGCACCTTTCTAGTAAGGTTCATATCCCAGACTTGCATTCTGTCTGCTGTTAGTAGACTTTAAAGGCTAAAGCCAGAGAACAGCAACATCCTTAATGCCTCTCTGGTGCAGTGACTTGAACTACAAACATTATAACTCTCCCATGATGAGGCTGTACAAAAAAAACAACTTGCACAGATGGGATTAAATGAAAAGTAAATTAAGAGCTATGGTAATTCTGCAGTGCAATGAAACATTAGGCATTAACACCACACTTTCAGGGGGCCAAGACAGCTTGCTCGGTCAGTAACTGTCACTCTCAGAGTTTTCCTGAAGAAGGGAGTTCCATAAGCAAATTATCACCAAAAGATTCAGTAGTCCTTTATATGCTAACATTCTATTTTATATATATATATATATATACACACACACACACACACACAGTCTCTGAAAGCTTCAAAAGCAATTAAAATACTCTGTTCAACCCTATATAAAGTCTTCATCTGACAAATCATACTGTACCTGAAAAAACATCTCTCATTCTATTATATTTTGAAAGTAATTACCTGCAATTAGATATTATAAATCTCTTGGTAACAGAAGTCTATTTTCTTTATCATGGAATCTACCAATAGCAGAACCTATTCTGCAATAATTGAATATAAAAGACATCTCTGTATGATACAATAAGAGCAAAAATAGCAATCTAATTTGGATCAGAGCAAAACATAGGAAAAAACAGCCAAACTGTTTTTTGTGATTTCTTACAAACCAGCCACTAGGTGACAACAGCAAACAGCTGTACAGTTTTGTTTACTTAATAACCAGTATATAGTCACTTCCACAAGCTGTCTCATTTGTAAGTATCTAATTAAACCGAATTTTGAAGTATATGTCTGCTTAATGTTACACACAATATTACTGTGCATACTCTTGCAACACATTTTGTAGCCAAACACCAGCTTTTGTATGTACGTGCACAGCATGTTTACATTTCATTTGAGCACTTCTACTTAGAGGTTATTTCTCAATTTTCACATCCTGTTTTCACTTCCTGATAGTGGGTTGATCTTCTGAATCATCCTTGCCCTCCTACCACCCAGAAGTCACCAGCTTGTTAAGTCTTTTAGCATAATCTAGAGCCCTAAAAAAATAAAGCCCAAAAAGGAAACTAGAACTAACTTGTGAGAGGAATGTAGGTCTGAGATTTTCAGGTTATCTTGAATAATACTGATATAATTGTACTATACTTGAGAATAGTTGTAAAAGTTGCCACAGTAAAACTTAACAATTCACATTTTCCTCATCTGATCATTTTCCTTCACAAGCATTTGACAATATATTTAAGCCTTTTAATAAGAGGTGACTATATACAGGCAAGGTTTGGGCTCAAGCATGAAAACAAAAGCTAAACACCTAAGTTACCACAGTGTGATAACTGATCCATGTAAATATCTGCATACACAGATACTGTATATGTCTGTGGACTGGACACCTACAGATACCACTGATCGGCTGAAATACAGATCTGCTATCTAAAAGAGTATTTCCAATTTGCACTATAGAAATCTTGATTCCTTTGGTCAGCACAAAGGTGATCAAAAGGATGACTATTTTCGACTCTGCCTCGCTATAAGAAATATAAAGATATATAGTTGTTTGAACCACTGGCATTAAAAAAAAATAAATAAAAATAAAGTAAGCACCCCATTGTTCAGATTGAAGAGCTAGCCTAGAGAGACAGAGAGAATCCAAACCCTAGGTCTGCTACAGACCAAACAAATGTGGTACTCCAAACAAATGTCATCATTAGAATTCAACAAGATAGGCAGTTTTCTTCTGTCCCCAATCTATTTCCTCTAGATTAAGCAAAGAGACACTTTCTTAAATAAAAAAATAATAAAAAAGAATGGAACTCAGGCTGTTATCAAGGTAATTATGCCCATAAAATTAGTATTTAGAAAAACTTCAAAAACTGACTTGCTAGCTTTATAGCTTTATCAGTAACACTGAACAGCAGGACAACACAAAGTATACATATTATACATATTATCTGGGAGAAATTTAAAACCAAAAATAAAAAAAATATACCCTCAGTATATAAAAGCTTTCAAAAAGTATAAAGATGATGAAGATAAAAATCAATTTATCTGGAAACCATAACTAGGTATCGATCTACTTCCATTATTGTAGTATTGACTTTACACACCTATTCTCAGCGCAGAGATCACAATCAATAGAGGTCAGTTTAACTATTATTGATTGCTGTAGGCACCGAGGAACTGTTGAGTTGCAGAGATTATTTGGATTATTTACACTGAAGTTTCAACCTTTCTCTAAACTCAAACTGAACATCTCAATTATTTATATGGATGCTGCTGAGTCCTGAACAGTTCCAAAAAAGGTGGAAAATGAATGCAGAAGTTTACTGAAGTTTTCAACTGGAGTTAAAATGGAAGACCTGCTACTCTTGTATCTATCCCTACTCTAAAGCTTCAGACTGGAGACACAGCAGCTAAGAGCATGTGGGCAAGAAACAGCAAGGCTGAGAGGCTCAGGCTCAAAAAACAACAGTGACCAAGATGCCTATGTAATTTTTTGGAGTGCAACATGATGGCAGGGAAGAGAGCAGTGCTACTTGTACTGCTAGCAAGGGCCAGTGGTTTTACTAGCAATCTAGACAGTAAAAACAGCAGTTTCTCCCCAGTTTCCCTGTTAGCCTACACACTGGATACCTGTCCAGTTACACCAAATATCAACAACAACAAAAATTCCTTCTGTCTAGCCAGCTAAGAAACTCTTAGAGCTTTAAGAACTGCATCAACTTTAGCAATTTGGTTTAGAGCAGTAGCGCAGTTTTGAAGCAAATCCCCTGCCAATACAACTGCTGTGCACTGGCTCAGTCTGTTGGGCAATCTCACTGAGCGAGCTCGATTGCTTTGGGAGCAAAGCATCAAGCAGAAGCTTCAGGTCAAGTGGAAACCAAATGCTGTCCAGATCAGATTAAGTACAACAGTCCCAACCAACAACTGGTCCTTCAGAAAGCCTCTAACCAACAGGCTTCATGGTCGAAGGGAAAACTGGACTAAATCTAGTCTTAAATCCAACACCCAAATCACAGGGTTTAGACTTGAGGGATCTCAGTGACTTTGATTTACTTCCACACTTCTATTGCATCAGATTAACTGCTATTAAACAAGACAAAGAAGCCCTTTCAAAGAGTTATTATATCAATAACATGCCAATCTCATCATGTTGAGAATTTAATTCAATTCTAAGTTATACTAAACAACTGTGTTAGAGCCTACTCCAGTGTTAATATTTCCGACCTTTATGCATTTGTCTTCTTTGGTTTTAAGACACCTAGTATTTTTACTAGTTTACACATGCTGTATCTTTCTCACCCATACATACAAAATATGGTATATGCACAGGCTGAGAAAGAGAACAAACATTTAACTTAGTAACAGTCACATAGCATTTAAACACTTCCTTACCTGTATATTTGTTCATAGGATATAGGGATGTAGTCACCAGGACTCTGAGTTAAAAGCTGATCTATGGCACTGTCCAGCTTTGGCCAATATGTGCTCTTATAGTCTTCAATTGTTATAACATTCATTACTGCAAAGAAAATACAAAACTATGTTTAGTAACTTAAATTAGAAGAGTAGAAGTAAAGGAACAATCAACAGTTTCAGATCTCACTGATATGTTGGCCAAAGAAGGGGAAGAGTTCGCTTCTGCTACCACCACCTAAAAATAAAGCCTGTAATTGAAATTGTACCTTTATGATTACAAAAAAAAAAAAAAAAAATTAAGAAACCAAACCAAATTAGTCTCTGGATGCCGCTCAGGTCCCACGTAGTAAGGAAAAAAAATAAACTCCTGGGAGTTCTGGTATGACAAAAATAAATAAATAAAAGCAGCTCAGGAGCTTGACTGAGAAATTACACAACTCAGTGGGAGACTAGAATTCACAATTAACGCTGAAGATGTTGCATGCAGAAGAACAAGGTTTGGTCAGGATTAGGGGGTTTAGAATACTCTAAATCTAAAGCTAAACCACTGCTTTTGAGGAGCAGGATTTCTGAACTCAATTTCAGTGAGGCTTGAAGAGAGCTTGATCTGTTACTTTGTCTTGGCAGAATTCAGAAAAATAATTTCAAGAAAATAGAGAACAGTTAACAGCTCCACAACAAAAGGGAGTACAAAAATCCTGTGGACTAGAGAGATATGAGACAAGAAAATAATATCTAAATGCAATGCTTAAGAGTAGGTTTTACAAAGATTCCCATTCCATGCCTCGAGGGAAGGGTGGGTGAGGCTGGATGGAAATCTGCTAAGTGAAGCACTGCTCGAGTCTCCCTTCACGTTGCTCGCTCTTGCTTAACACCTCTTCTAGAAACCAGCACAGGGAAGGGAAGGGAAAGTCATACCAGGACTGCAGGATGCTTTCCCAATGCAAGCCTGCAATCTGAAAGCAAAACTGCCACTTGTTGTCAAATTTAGAAATGTCAGAGTTCACAAGAGGTCCAAGTACACACACAACCACTAAGGCATAAGCTGCATGGCAGCTCCACGATGCAAAAATATCCAGATGATCGAGAGCAGCAAAGCAGCTACCAGGGTGCAAATTTACCTCCTCATTCATCTCTCAGTGACCTGAGCTCTCTTCCCTTACAAAGCGCAGGCTCTGGGCAGGTTATTCTCAGCAGCATTGTCCACAGAGCAGCTCGGGAGATTTTTACACTCAATAGCAAAACTTATGCATTTGTGTTTTATTTGGCCACCAGAAATTAAAGAATATTTTTCATAATATTATCCTGTGTAAATCCATGGCTACAACTGAAAGTAATCAACTATAAGCAAACACTTAGTTATAGGTTTAATACAACACAGAAAATTCTCTTTAGGTTCTTTTTCATGAGAATGATGATTAAAATAATAATAAAAAAGAACACAGACACAAAAATGAACTATGCATTATTTTATTTGATTTTAGCTACCAGTCTTAGCAAAATTTCAAGAACTGTACTTGAGCTCTTAGAAATATTTTAAAGGGTCTCCACCTAACCTTCTTACTCCAACATTCTAAGCTGAATTAAACCAAAAAAAGGACCCACTAGACTACATCAGTCTGCAGCTAAAGACAGGAACAAACATCACACCATATGTAATGACACAGTAGAACATGGGTCACGAATTCTTGTTTTGAAAGAAAGAATTAGGAGGGAAAGATCTGCTCAAAGGTCACTGGAGTTCCACTTTACCATGGAATTGTAGGAAATCATAAGTGACCCACATTTTTGACAACCCCCTTAGGAAAAACGTGTCCAAGACTAAGCATCTGCTTGACAAGCAGAGAACGACACCTTCTTCACTGAGTGAAAAGCTTCCTCTTCTCAAAAAAGAAATCTAAGTAATAGATGCCGAGAAATTCAGGTCTACACTGTCAAAATTATTCAGCTGGGCTGGTTTTGTTCATATATATACATAGCACCAAAGCTACACCAGGCAAGGAAACAAAAGGAACAGAGAGTTCTGATGAGTGCAATACCTCAGAGAATTTCATGCTTTATATGAATTCCAGATTTCTTTATATGTATATTCACATGCACACACAGTTATTAGCACCAATAAGGCAGATATTGTGTTGGGATTCAGATTCTGGCACTTGAGAAGTGAAAACAAGAAGTCCAAAACCACACACTAAGCAAAATCAGGCACAGCTGTTTCTTCTCCCACTCAGACTTGAGCTGTAAAGATAGCTGGAAAGTCACCTTCCCATTCTGGGGAGGTTCCAAAGTTTAAAACTATTTTCATTCTGAACCAAAAAAACCCAAAAACTCTAAACTCTCTAAGCTTCTGGAGTGGGAATTCAACAGTTTAGTTCCATTTCAACCTTTGCAAAGGTTTTCAAGCCACCCCTGGGTACCTGGGGCTCCGACAGCCACACAGGCAGAGAGCCAGGAGGCTGGAGGTGTCTGGGAGCCCTAACTTCAAAGCCGCTGCTCTTGGCAACCTGCCCAAAGCCGGGGCTACCAAAGAGCCAGGGATCTAGAAGCCTGAACTTCTAGTTTCTGAGCTGCTCAGTGCTGGGCTGCTGAGCTGTGCAGGTGAGCTGGCACAGGAAAAAAGGAAGGAAAATAAATAAATAAATAAAGAGTGTGTTTCCCACCAGAGTTTCAGCACGGCAGTTACATTTCCACACACTCTAATTAGCCAAATCCAAGTTTTCTTACAATCATTAGGGAAAGTGATACATTTCACCCTGAAGCAAGACTTTTGGGAATAAAAGTAGAATTGAAGTGAACAGCAGACGGATCTTAGCTCAGCAAAACCACAGAAAATCCTTCGTGCTTGCTGTTCCTGTCAAGAGCTACATCCAAAAGGTTCCAGAGCATTTCAGAACCATTTTCTCGGGTCAATATGCCTTCTCTTCTAACAACATTTTCATACACATGTATAACACTTCCAGAAGGGCAAACACTCTCCAGATATCACCTTTCCACAGTTTCAATAGCCAGAAAGAGGTTTCACAGCCATATTTGGGGCATTTGTTTCTACTGCTGTCAATCAGCCAGGGCTAGAGTTAGCTTTTAAGTCAGAAAGAAGAAATCTTTAGGGAAGTCCTGTCCAAGCAAGGCTGCAGGAAAAGCCACAGTACCACCATCGTTCCAAACACCCAGAACACACTCGCTCTTCCAGCGCTAACACCCAGAATCCTAACGTGTCTCCTTGCCACGACAGGGAAACAAGAGGCTTAGGAGCACGCAAGAGAGGTGACGTTTTCTCCCTGCAAGGAAGCAGGACACGCTCGCACGGTTGTTTTTCACTCCTGGTTCACGCCACGAAACGGCCCTGTTCTGGGCCAGGCCAGAAGCACAGGGGACACGAGGGCAGCCGCAGGGAAGGGGCCGGC